TTTTATAGCTATACTTGACATAGTATCAGACACGTGGCTGATACTTCAGCAAAGTATCAGCAAAGGTCCTTCAGCAGTTCCTGGACCTTATTGCTGCCGCCACCGCCTAGGGAATGCGAGTATCCTGGTCTAGTTTGATAAAGGACCACGAGCATTGCTGACATGGAGCAGGAGGCAAAGTCAACTGAAGAGTCAACAAACAATGACTGAATCAACTGCGTCATTGGTGCCAGACCACCAAGCCCATCACAGTGCCCTAGTGCTAGCATCTCCCTCCTTTTACAGATGAGTAAATGGAAACTAGAGAAGTTAAGTCACTCGTCCAAGGTCAGACCCTGGCAAGAGGAGCCAGGACTTGAAGGAACCCAAGTCTGTTTGAGTCCAGAACCCCACACTAAGTCCAGCTCGTACCTGAGCTGAAGGAAGTTCCTTGCACAGATTTAAACTTGTAAAGTATAGGGTTATGTGGGGAGAGGGGGGTCCAGAGGGAAGGGATGTATGTATACATACAGCTGATTCACTTTGTTGTATAGCAGAAACTAACATAACAGTGCAAAGCAAGTATATACCAACAAAAAATGATAAATTAAAAAAAAACTCGTACAGTACTGGGTGTGTGCTGTGTGAGCTGCAGGGCATTCCTCTTCCCAGCCCGTGCTGCTGGTTCCAGCAACCAGTGGCTCTGCTTGGCCAGAAGCCATGAGGGACAAAAGCAAAATGTCCATGAAGGGTCTGTTCCTCAGCATCGATTTGTCAAGGCCCTGGGGTCCTGGGAGCAGGTTGGAAGGGTGCCTGAGAGTGAGCCAATCACGGCAATGTCAGACACTCAGTTGGAAATGGAAGTGAAAGGTGAGGGAGTCAGAGTGGAAGGGACTGAGCCAAGTTGCCAGGTCTTGGGCAATTTCAAGTCCACGACTCTGAGCCAAGGACAAGACACTATACCTAAAATAACCTCCCCAAAGACTCTTTACTGAGCATTTTGCAACCAGTATCCCCGCTCTGACTTTCAGGTCAACACGACTAGCATTCACTGGACTCCTATTAGATGTTAGGACTGTGACTGTTACAAAGACCTGGCCTTCTGCAGACACAGGGAAAGCCCCCAGGACACAAGGCAGGTGCTATCAAACCAGGACACGATGCAGGGCCAACCTGGGCAGTCCCAGCCACGAAGGCAGCTGGGATTCAGAGAATTGGAGGGGGCAGGCTGTGCTGGCACAGGCAGCGGGGGCCTCTCGGAGCACCTAACCTGGAAGGAGGAAGACAGAGCAGAAAGAGGAGAGCTTCTCAGGTAGGAAGAAGAGGAGCAGCAGAGGTGAGTCACGAGCAACAGGAAGGAATTGTCTCGGGCTGTGCAAAACCTGTCTGGGGAGAAAAGGCTACTTGAAGGAGAAGAATGAGATATGAGGTTGGGTGAATAGGGAAGCTCAGACAGTAGAGTTCCTGGAACCAAGAATATTGACCAAATAAATGTAACATGCAGAATCCAAAAGTTCATCACATGGGCAGTGAGAAACCATCCAGGCTTTTGAGAGGCAATTAAGAATAAAAACTTAACTTTAGGAAGATTTATTTGGTGGTAGTGTTTGAGGTGGATTAGAAAACAGAGAACTAAAAACAAACAGACGGAAAAAAAAAAAAAAGCTGCCCAAAAAGAAAAAAATATACACAAATAAACCCTGAATGCTTCTTTGAGTATCTACTAAAAGTCTGACTGCAGGAGAACTTAATAAACATAGTCTCTTTCCCTGCCAGTCCAATAAGGAAGACACTCATTAATCCCATAGTTACCTATTAAGGACCTGCTATGTGCCAAGGATTATACTGGGTCCTGGGGATGCAGTGAAGAGTAAACCAAAGTTCTGGTCTTCATAAAGGTTATCCTCAGATGGATGCAGAAGAAAACACAGAAGCGAATCAATAATAACATCAATATAAATCCAAGCGTGATGTGCTAGGAAGGAAAATAAAGCAGGGCATTGGGCAGGGAATGGTAGGATAAAGTGATGTTTAAAATTAATGTACATGGAATGAAAGTAACTCAAGAATTTGAATAAACCCTGGGAAATAGTGAAAGGCAGAGGAGCCTGGCATGCTGCAGTCCATGCGGGTGACAGAGTCGGACACGCCTTAACGACCGAGCAACAGCAAGGGCTCTGGATTGCCTGGAACTGCCCCAGTTTCAGCCGTGCGAGTCCAACAGCTTACAGAAATCCCTCAGCCCTAGGCAAACGGGGATGGTTTGTTGCCCTACAACTGTAGGGCAACTGACCTTGACTTATATACCCTGTGTCTGACCTGCATGATTCAACACAAGGTTTTGCATCTTTAAAGGGACATCAGCACAGTCAAATCACATGCTTAGTTTCCCAAGCGCTAGCCAAATTGCTACCTTGGGTGGCCTCTTCCCCTCCCAGACAGAGCAGCAGAGTCAGAAATTCCTAGCATTGGTGACCTTGGATTTCTCAGCCTTCTATTCCCACCATCTTGCATTCAGTCCTAGCTACCACCTAAACCAGGAACAGCAAATCCACTAGTGACCCCAGTCCTTGCCATCTGCTCCCCTCCTCTGCCCAGCCCTGGCCAGCAAGCTGGTAAGGCCGTCGGGGTCAAAGCTGGGTTATCAGAGACGGAAACAGGGGAACTCATCTGAGGTGATGTGATGTGCCAGAGTTAGTCACAAGAAAGGGGAACCCCAGATAAATTACAGCTTGCTGACCTTGGGAGACGTGCGGCTGTGTCTCTTCAGTTACAGAGATACCGGAAATGCTCACTGAAGTGTCAATTTCGGAGTTTTGGGGCCAACGCTCCAAAGGGCTGACTCACTTTCAAAGCAGAAACCACGTGAAAGTCCTGATGTTAAGATGACAGTACACGCTCATTCAGAAGTCACGGTATTTCAGACTCACATAGTTCTTGGGAAAGTTCAAAGATCATTTCTGCTGGTTATTAAAGACTTCTCCAAAATTGTAAGAAAGATTCAAAGAAAATGCCAAGACTGATATTCATCTCCCTGGTTACGGAAGCTTCCTGCCTGACAAGGTTAAAAGAATAATAAGCAGGGGACACAAGCTCCAGGAATCATCCCCATCTGGCCCCTGGTCACCTTGCCTGCTTATGTACAGATTAAAATGTAGAATTTCAAATAAGCTCTTTAGGTAACCTTGCCCAAGCTGCACATACAAATCCTACTAACTGAACTACAGGGTGAAGGGCAGGTATTACTGTTGCCTTTTTAAACTCATTTTTCTGGGAAATTGCCTCAGACTCCCAAGAAAAGTTACTGTTAAAACTTCAACAAGCCCAGTATGTAATCCCTGCAACAGCCCTTTCCGGGTCCCTCCCCTCAGGGCTCAGCCTGACTTTGCCAGGCTGTTGCAAGGTTGCATCACTGACCTTTGCAATTGTCTGACCAGTCCAATTTCCCCATCCTCTTCCTGCCCCACTCCTTTTCTCTGCTTGAAGAGCTTTGGCCCAGGATCTCTCCTTTTCCCCTACTTGCTAACTAACTCTGATATATGGATAACCAAGGCTAAACCAGAACCCTCCCCTCACCAAGGTGATGAAGTTTAATCCTGGTTAAAATCAACCCTACCAGCTTCATGCTTCCAAGGGTCTTCCCTACTCTTTAGCTTCTTACCTTAATCATCTACTTTCACCTTTCTGCTCCTAAACTGTGTCTATGCTAAATGGAGCTGGTACAGCCGCGCTGCTCCCCAGGTCCAGGGGAGTGGCATATAATTGTTGAGGAACACAGGAAATATTTGCAGTTCAGGCCAGCAAACTTTCCCCAAGGCCCACCTTTCCATGTTCACCTTGCCCCAGTGCTCAACTTCACTTCTTAAGTGGTAGTGGGGAGAGTTTGGATTTAATGGCAGTTCTCTGATACAGAGAAGTGCAAACCCCTACAGACACAGACACCACACACCACACACACACACACACAATCTGTGCATAAAGGGCAGCCTCAATGAATAGTTATCCATCAAGTGACCATAGCAAAGCAGGCACATGACTAAACCAGTTAGACCAGAGAGAAATATAACTATAAGCACAAACTTCGCTGGTTATGCAGAGCCTGGAGACCCTTTCTGTTTTCATAACCGGATCCCTCCTCTTTCCTTCTACCTCAAATCCATATACGTGAGGGAAGATGACAAACTTTCTTTATGAAAACTAATTTTTCAACTAAGTTGAACCCCGGTCTTCTCTTGTGGCTCAGCTGGTAAAGAATCCACCCGCAATGCGAGAGACCTGGGTTCACTCCCTGGATTGGTAAGATCCCCTGGAGAAGGGAACGGCTACCCACTCCAGTATTCTGGCCTGGAGAATTCCATGGACTGTATAGTCAATGGTGTCGCAAAGAGTCAGACACGACTGAGCGACTTTGACTTCACTTTCAGGTGTCCTCACCAGGGGTCCTTCCAGACCTCCCCGGATAAGGGAAGCTGTGATCCACCCACACCATTAAGAAAAAAGTTGGGAATGGGCGCGGATTCCTCCCCGGGTCCTCACCTCTGTACATCCAGGCCCTCCACCCCGCCCCCGGCCCCTGCACCCCAGGCGTGCACAGCTCGTGGCCTCTACCCCAAGGTCCCTGCCCCGCCTCGCCCCTTCCTCCCCCTCCTCTCTCTGGCCGGTGTCCCGGGAGCCCAGGAGGCGGGGCTCGCAGAAACAAATATAAGCGGCCCCGGGGCGCTGACCAGGTCCCAGTTGCCGAGTCCCCATCCTGAAGCTAGGAGGAAGGCGAGGAGGAGCAGAACGCAGAGGCGCGGGGCCCACGCACACGTTGATCGCCGCCCCAGCTCTGGCGGCGCCCCTGTAGGTGAGCGCGGCGCGGAGGAGCGCGGCGGGGCGCGGGGTCCCCGGTGCGCCCCCCACTCCCTGAGGGCCTCCCCCCGAGAGCCGGGAGCTGCAGCCGGCCTTCGGAGGCTGAAGGTCTCGCTGCCCCGACCCGCTGCTTCCGCAGGTCGCCCCCACCCCGAGACCCCGGAGCCCAGATGGAGACGGTCCAGGAGCTGATTCCCCTAGCCAAGGAGCTGATGGCTCAGAAGCCCAGCGCGAAGCTGGTGCGAATGTACGTGCTGGGCGGCGTGCTGGCGCTCTTCGGCGCCGTGCTCGGCCTGATGGAGACCGTATGCGGCCCCTTCACGGCCGCCGGCCGCTGGCGGGAGCGCGAGGCGACCCCGGCCGAGCTGCGGACCGCCAAGGGGGAGCCGGCCCCGCAGGAGCAAGGCAAGCCGCTGGAGGCCGTCCAGGGCTGCCGGGCCCTGTCCAACCGGCTGCACGCCTCCTAGGAGCTCGGGGCGGCCGGCGGAGGGAAGAGAGGAGAGACACCCAGAGAGGGGCGAGTGAGCCAGAGCCGGAAGGGCAGGCTCGAGTGGGCGTCCTGTGCTGTCTGAACTTGCTTCTGAGAAGCCACGGACTTCTAGAACTGAACTACCACGCGGATCCAAGAGGAGCTTGGGATTGAGTTCGCTCCAAGTGCAGCACTGCAGGAAGACCAAGTGCAGCACTGCAGGAAGATGCCACGTCCGAAGCTAGGTACCTTCAAGCCACCTGAGTGCGTCTAGCATTCTGCACTGGGGCGAAAGTGCAGAATTTTTATGTTGTTGTTGTTGTTGTTGTTGTTGTTACAGTAATTGCGTTTTGAAATAAAAAACGTTTTGTATATATCTCAGCATCTGATTCTGGGGGGGAGGGGGGCGGGCACAGTTGCCTAGCATGGGCTTCAGGGAGGGCTGACATGCTGGGGTCTTACCTGAGGCCAGTGGACTGAGTGGTTTCCTGAAGATCAGGCAACTTTTGCTTCTGCCCTCCGACTCTGATATTGATGTTACAGGCTTGTAAGCCTGTTGGGAATTTAGTTTTGCTTTGTGTTAGGAATGGCAAGACAGAAGCTTTTCTAAGTCCCACCAGACTTAGCATTTCAAGCTCAGAAGATAAACAAGCTAGAGTAAGTGAAAGAGAGCTGCAGTTTAACTCTAGGGCAGAAAAGCTGTCTGCCATCTCACACCTGTGCACCGAAGGGTCCTGCTGAGAGCTGTTCCTTCCTAACTGTAGGGGTGGGGAGGGGGGCGGCGCAGGGAGGAAAACTAGCTAGACGCAAGGAAAAGAGGGAAGGCGATCTCCCAAGGACATTTAATTGAATGTCTAGCTCTACCCAGCCTTCCTCCTCACAAACTGAATCACAGTGGGAAGCTCTCATTTAAGAGGGGGAAAGACTGGTTTATCACAGGCTTGAGTCCCCTTTCACCGGGGACAGAGGTTCCTTTGTGCTAATAACTAGTCCCTGTGGCTCTGTAGGGCTCAGCATGTCAGCATCAGAAGTGGTAAACAGTGGCTTTTAAAGAAGTAGCTAGGGGCAGGAGCCTGAAGCCACTCTCTTGCTGCGCTCATCAGGTGTGGACATTTCACTCTCACCATCCATGGCTGTGGATTTTTGCCAAATGTAGCAAGGATCCTGCCATTGCCTCTGACCAGTCTGTTTCTCCACCACCACCCTCTTCCCCCCCCCCCACCCCCCGCCACACACACACGTTTCCACTTTATTTCTGACAGCTCGCATCCTACCCAGTGTTTCTGGCCCTCATCAAGTGCCCTGTCCGCATGAAATCTATCTTTATCACTCCAAACAAAAGAGCAGTGAGATTAATCAAGAGAAAAAGATGCATGCAAAGCAAAACAATAGCAGTGGAGCCACTGTTCTCCCAGTTTCCAAAATGGGAAACTTGGCCCTGTATTAAGGAGACATAACCTCGTCTTAAATGTCCAGAAAACGTCTCAGGAGTTCACCCTATCTTATTCTTCCCGCTTTCCTTCCCAAGCGCCTCTCTCACACTATTATTCTTCCACTGATGCAGCCGCTCCTTGGTCCAGCTGTCAAACCTCAAACCGCCTCCCGCGCTTTCTTGTATATTCGTCTCAAAACACTCACTGCCGGACTGGGGTTTCGCCCTTCCTTCATCCTGCTGCTCCTCCCTCAAAGGCGTCAGCGCCTAAACTCCTGTCCAGGTTTCCCAGTGTCTCCGTGATCTGCTTGCATCTCAGCCCTCCCACCTGATGTCCCGCATGAAACCCCAGGACCCTCCTGCCCCTTCTGGTCTTTAGCACCTTTGCTCACATTCCTCTTCCGACCCGAACACCTGCCCACCCACAGTCCTCACACCTTCTGCAACCCATAAACCCAGGTTCCCCAAGAGAGTGGAGTTTCAAATATTGTGCGTCTTGTCAAACTGTGTATCAACTCATGTACTCCAGTTTTTGGTTTAGAAGGCAATGCCTCTAATTTTTCTTTACCTATATAAAAAAATACATGTATTTTACATATGTCCCTAAATAAAAAGGAAATGCCTGTGTATTTTTAGCTTTGAAGGTTATGCCTCATGTCTATACATGGACAAACTACCCAACCCAGTTAAATCCAAGCCATCAAAATCTTATCTGTCCTCACTGATCTTGTCATTCCTCTGAGTTTATTCAGTCTGGGTCTCATAGTGGATCACACAGTAATGGACTTTTTAACCCTGTTGTTTCATGGAAGTGGTCATCTCTCTTACAGTCTTCTTTATGTCTTTCGCATTTTTAAAGGTTTTTTTTTTCATTGTGGCTAAAGTCACATAATATAAAACATGCTATCTTAACCATATTTCACTGTACAGTTCAGTGGCACTAAACATATTCACGTTGTTATACAACTCTCAACCATCATCCATCTTTCAGATTTCTCACCTTCCTAAACTGAAACTCTGTCCCCATTAAACACTAACTCCCAATTCCTTCTCCCCACCCCCACACCACCTGACCCCTGGCACCTACCAATGGACTTTCTGAGTCTATGAATTTGGCTATTCTAAGTACCTCGTATAAGTGGAATCAAACGTTATTTGTCTGCACCTTATATATATGCTGGAATGCACTTGTGAGGTTAATATATGTCCTACAAACAGAGTGCGCCCTTTATCCCCTGTCCCACTCAGCAGGTTCTCATTAGCTGTCCATTTTGTGCAGAGTTGTGTATATATGTCAATTTCAATCTTTCCATTTATCTCACCCCTCTCTTCCCCTCTTGGGGCCCATATCTTTGTTTTCTACATCTATGTCTCTATTTCTGCTTTGCAATTAAGTTCAATTGTACCATTATTCTAGATTCCACATATATGCATTAACATAAAATATTTGTTTCTCTCTTTCTGAATTACTTCACTGTGCTTGACAGTCTCTTGGTCCATTCACATCTCTGCAAATGGCACAATTTCATTCCTTTTTATGGCTGAGTAATATTCCACTGTACATAGGCATCACATCTTCTTTATCCATTCCTCTGTCAATGAACATTTAGGTTGCTCCCATGTCCTGGCTCTTGTAAATAGTGCTGCAATGAACATTGGGGTGCATGTATCTTTTGGAATTATGGTTTTCTCCAGGTATAAGCACAGGAGTGGGACTGCTGGGTCATACTGTAGTTTTATTTTTAGTTTTTTAAGGAACCTCGATACTGTTCTCCATAGTGGCTGTACCAATTTGCATTCTCACCAACAGTGTGGAAGGGTTCCCTTTTCTAGCATTTATTGTTTGTAGAGCGTTTGATGATGGCCTTTCCAGCCAGTGTAAAGTATTACCTCATTGTACTTTTAATTTACATTTCTCTAATAACTAGTGATACTGAGCATCTTTTCATGTGTCTCTTGGCCATCTGAATGCCTTCATTAGAGAAATGTCTATTTAGGTCTTCTGCTCATTTTTTCATTTCATTTTTTGTTTTTTGTTTTTGTTTTTTTTTTGGTATTGACTGCGTGAGTTGTTTGTCTGTTTTGGAAACTAAACCTTCGCAAGTTTCTTCATTTGCAAATATTTTCCCCCATTCTGAGGGTTGTCTTTTCATCTTGTTTCTGGTTTTCTTTGCTGTGAAAAAGGTTTTAAGTTTAACTAGGTGCCATTTGTTTATTTTCATTTTTATTGTCATTACTCTAGGAGGTGGATCAAAAAAGATCTTACCGCAATTTATGTCAAGGAGTATTCTACCTATGTTTTCCTCTAAGAGTTTTATAGTGTCCAACCTTACAGTTAAGTCTTTAAACCATTTTGAATGTATTTTTGTGTATGGTGTTAAGGAGCGTTCTAATTTCATTCTTCTACATTTAGTTGTCCAGTTTTCCCAGCACCACTCATTGAAGAGAGAGCTTTTCTCTGTTGTATGTTCTTGCCTCCTTTGTTAGGGATCAGGTGACCATGGGTGCATGAGTTTATCTCTGGGCATTCTATTCTGGACCACTGAGCTCCAGTTCTGATTTCTGCCAGAACCATGCTGCCTTGGTTACTACAGATCTGTACTACAGTCTGAAGTTGGGGAGCCTCATGCCTCTAGCTCCATTTTTCTTTTTCAAGATTCTTTGGCTATTGGGGGTATTTTGTATTTTCTTACAAATTGTCAAAATTTTTGTTCTAAGTCTGTGAAAAACACCATTGGCAATTTGATAAGGATTCCATTGAACCTGTAGATTGCTTTGGGTAGTATAATCATTTTGACAATACTGATTGTACCCATCCAAGAACATGGTATATCTCTCCATCTGTTTGGGTCATCTTTGATTTCTTTCATCAGTATTTTATAGGTTTATGAGTATAGGTCTTTTGCCTCCTTGTTCTTGTTGTTATTCAGTCGCCAAGTCATATCCAATTCTTTGCGACTGCATGGACTGCAGTACCTTCCTATCCCTCATGAACTCCAGGAGTTTGCCCAAGTTCATGCCCACTGAATCCGTGATGCCATCAAACTATCTCATTCTCTGTCACCTCTTCTCCTTTTGCCTTCAATCTTTCCCAGCATGAGGGTCTTCTCCAACAAGTCAGCTCTTTGCATCAGGTAGCCAAAGTATTGGAGCTCCAGCTTCAGAATCAGTCCCTCCAATGAGTATTCAGGGTTGATTTCCCTTAGGATTGACTGGTTTAAACTCCTTACTGTCCAAAGGACTCTCAAGAGTCTTCTCCAGCACCACAGTTTGAAAGCATCAATTCTTCAGTGCTCAGCCTGCTAGTGATACTGGTTCAATTCTCACATCTGCACATGACTACTGGAAAAACCATAGCTTTAACTATACCGACCTTCATTGGCAAAGTGCTGTCTTCGCTTTTTAATATGCTAAGTTTGTTATAGCTTTCCATCCAAGAAGCAAGTGTCTTTTAATTTCATGGATACAGTCACCATCTGCAGTGATTTAGGAGCCCCCAAAATAAATCTGTCACTGTTTCCACTTTTTCCCCATCTATATACCATGAAGTAATGGGACTAGATGTC